TTTTGAATTTTGATTGATTGACAGAAATCTTGAATCTTTTTAATTATTTCCTATATTTTCCAATAGAGGGAAAACTAGTTTTTTTTTTTTTTTATCAAAGAGTATTAAAAAAAACAAATGGAAAATTTTAATTATTAAGAAAAAAAAAAGCAAAAATAATTTTTATATTTGCTGAAAATTTTTTTAAAATAAGAATTTATGCTGATAAAAACCAGAGTGAATTAAAAAAAAAACTAAACATTTTTAACATTTTTATTAAGGGATATATATTGTCAGTGCAAGCGGGTGTATCAAGATTTTATTTGAAAATTTGCAACATAACCTGAATATTTCAAAATAAATGTTTGAAGATTGGCAATATATGGAGAACATAGATTAATTTTAATTTTTATTTTGCGATAGGATTTATTATGTCTAATGCCACTATTCTGAAGAATCAAATAACCGTTCTTGAATGAGTTCCTTCTTCAATAAATTGCATTAATTTATTATATTCGAAAACACAATAGTTAAATTTCGGTCCGCTTGCATTTCTTATCATTGTTTTCAATTTCATAATAATTATTTTTAAATTAAAGGTTGACATATATAGATGACCGCGCATATTGCGAGTTTGAAAGTAAATTGCAATTCAAAAACTACAGTTTTTAAAAAAAAACTAAATTGAGCACGTTCTATAGTATATTGTCGTCAGACTTAATTATTAATTTGGGATGACAAGTGAAATATAAAAGTTCAGTGCAGAAATAAATCAAATAAAACAAAATACCTTCGCTTTTATAAAATTTGACTTTCGAAACACATACACAAAAATTTTTTTATAGTGACCCATTTATTGTGACAAAAATTTAAATTATAATTTAATTAAGTTTTATAAGAAGTCAATGACATTTTATAAGTTCTTTTATGTATATAAATTTTTATTAAATGATTCAAAAACACTTCAAAAGTAATAAGAAAGCCCGATTATTTAAAATGTGACTGACGACAAAAGATCGTGATTTTCTTTTAATTACACACTTTAGAAACTTCATTATTTTTATTAAGAATGTTCTATATTGGCATCCATTTTTAATTTAATTTTTTAAAGAATTAAAAACGTGCCACTGATTTTAATTCTGTTAACTGTTTAAAAAAATATTTATTTTTTCAAATGTAAATCGTTGTAATTAAAAACAATTCTATTTGTTATATAAAAAAAATGATTTTGAAAGTAATATTTTAAATTTTTTTTAAATACTCTTAATTCGTATTTAAATATTAACATGAATTAATCACGTTCTTAAGTTTTCCTATTAAAATTTCTAATAAAAATAAAATTACTTAAAATTTTGTTATAAAATCTTTAATTGAAATTCAATATTGGCAATACTGTGGAAAAAGAATTGAAAAATTAAAAGAAAAATATAAAAATTTAAATTTTGTAATTTCTGAACTTTATTTAAGGTTCATCGCAAAATCAAATATTGTATTTTAAGGTCTTCGGTCAAAAGAATTGAATTTTTTTTTTTGGAATAGACATGATAAATTAATAAAAGTGATGAAACAGAATTTGTGCTTAAGTATTTTTTGAACTGTGTAAGAAACTGAACTGCATATGTATATTATGTAAAACTCTAGATATTAAAATTAGTGATCGTTGGCTTAAAAATTTAAAGTGATTGATTTGTCTTTATAGGATACCAATGTATGCAAAATTGCTGTACCTTTTTGTGAAAATTTCCAGAAAAACCAAAAAAATAATATTGAGCACCTGTGTAAAATCAAGAGTATGATATAGGAGTTAAATCTCTCCGCTCTAAAGCGAAGGAGAAGATGCTTTTTGGGAGGATACCCGCGGTTTGATGGATTGCAGGAGTTCTCTGAGGCGATTTGCTTAACTTTGTCAAGTAACTTGAACGGATTTAGCGGAAAGAAGTGTGTTGTGGAGGGATGCCGATGAGCGTTGTGTGTGATGAAGGTGGCAGCGTTGAGGATGCCACTTCCCCTTTTCAACTAACTAACTATAACTAACTAAATCTGGCAAAGCAATAAATTTGATATCCACAAGAGGAAGATGCGCACCAGAAAGTGACATTGTGATCCAACAACAAGGTGTTGAATACAGTACTGACCACTGTATTAGCTGATTGAAACTGAAACAAAGAAAAGAAATATAAAAGGCAGGGCCTTAATCCCTAAAGCATCTATTAGCAAGGAAAATAACAAAATTATTTAAGAACTGCAGGTATCATGAACGAAATAGAAAAATTAAATCCTATAGATTTCACAGTATTATATAATATTGGTTCTTTGTATATGAGTTGCAAGTTTTTTATGAATAGTGAAGTGAATACGAAAAAAAAAAACTTTTTTTAAATTAAATTTAATATTGCGAAATGATACTTTTACACTGTATCCCATTCATTTGACTTGATTTTTTTTTTATTATTTAATAGTTTTATTAAGAAACAATAACGCGTTATAGAAGAACTAAAAAAAAATCAATAACATTTCAATAAATTCGAAAATATTCGGGCACGTATTGAATTCAGTTACGATTTTTAATTAAAATTTTTTTATTAAATAAAAAATTCACGTTTTAACATTAAATCAAGTGATATTTTATACTGTCAAATTGTGTATATGGATGGGGTCATTATGGTATTCTCTATATGCCTTGATTTAAATTTCAATTTAATAATGATATTGAGGAAATTAATTTAAACTTTTATACACACAGGTCTCTTGATCATTTATGACGAATCATCAAATTTAATTTAATTGTTCTTCGATTTTTTGTTTTTGCTTAAGAAAATTGTGTCAGACATAGTTAAACGGTAAATTGCGTAAATTTCATGAAAATATTTGAAAAATTTTGTATTTAAATATGGTTAAATGTTTTATAGGAATTATATAATAATTATACGATTTGAATTTAAGGAAATATTTAAAAGTCATGTAAGTATATAGTTTTAAGTCATGTATGCAGTACTTTATGATAATTAAATTATATGTAATTGGTTGAAATTTAATTGAAACGTTTTTAAAAGTTATTTATATGTTCACAATTTAAAATATTGTGAAATCTTATAGCAGTCAAATTGTATAACAGTTACATTGTATAACAGTTACATTGTATGACAGTTACATTGTATAACAGTTAAATTGTATAACACTTAAATTGTACAACAGTTAAGTACTTTTAGATTTTCTTGATAATTTTGAAAACATTTGCAATTTTCGAAAATTTTTTGATTGTCAAGTAAGTTGTTATATTGCGCTCACTTTTTGAATTTTCCGATCAGTATTCTATTTAAAATTGTTCGAATTTATTTCGAAAATCATTTTAACTATTTTTTGTATCGGTATAAATTGTGATTAGCAATCAATAAAAGACCTTATAATTTTAGGAACTACAATGGCATCAACTTTTTGGTGTAAGCTTCATGGTGTTAATAATATATATATGCATGTTATTATATATGTAATTGATATACAGTTCTCCCCGGTTAAATGCACCACGCTTAATTGATTTTCCCCTTTTATTGAACGAAAAACTAAGGCAACTTTAAATCCCTATTAAAATATACATGAATAACATCGTTTAATTGAGTCCCGTTTAATTGAACAACTCGCTTAAATGAATCTCTTTTTTTGGTATTACCTTATAAAAACTGTGAAAAATTCCCCTGTTTATTGACCTGATAACGGCATAAACATTGTACGGAAATTTTTTATCCCACAAAATAAATTTATTGAAAACTTAGATGAAATGGAAACCTTTATTATTAAGAATCATTACAAACATAACCAAACGAAAATTACAAATTTTTTTAAATAGGTTTAATTTTTTATTATTCTATTTGTTGTTGTTAAACTAGCAATAGTAAATTTATTGAAAAATTAGATATAACGTATGAAATATTTTGTTTTCTTTGTAATATGAAATATTTATTTTTAATTTTTGTTATGTTATGTGATATAAAAATATTATGATTTAAATATTTTGAATTTGAATTCATAGTTACATTACTTAGATGGATTTAAAATAAAGAAAAATTTAAGTTTTTAAATTTTGAAATAAAAAAAAATTTGAGTTTTAGTATTTCATTAGTGTATCCCCTATTTTAAATATAGCTTTTTACCTAGGATATTTTGATAAGTATATGTAATAGGATATGCTTCCTATTGTTTTTATTAATTTTATGCAGTAGCAGGATCAAATTCGTTTTTGCGCCTGATCTTCAATAGCGAGTATTCGTTTTCATGCGTAAACGATTCAGTTAAAAAAATTCGTTTTATTGCACCAATTGTTCAATTAAACGGGATTTTTTTAATTGATTTACCCGCTTAATTGATACAAAAAGTGTGCAACTTTTCTCGGTTCAATTAACCGGGGAGAACTGTAGTTATACAATTTTGTTTTAAAACTATGAAATTCTGTTCTACATAGCTCTGTCCGAATCTCTATAATAATATAAAAATCTAAATTCAAACTTAACTTCTAAAGCAATCAAATAATTTAGTAACAATCAATTGTTATTTTATAAATATGTATGTATTTAAGACCAAATTTTCCACCTTATCTGTAAGTGCATGTAACGTACATAAGTATGCACTTATTACTTTCATGAATTTATATACCGATATATTTATACTACAATCTTATATTTAAATTCAGATATGCAACAATAATTGTACATAATAAAATTTTAATTTTATAAGATCAAATTACCAAGGGACAATTTTAATTACGATTTCTGAAAAAAAATTGCATATTTATAGGAGCAACTTGTCATATTATAATTGATTTTGAATTTTATTAATTATATTATGTTAATTTCAAATCAATTTTATCAAAAATTTTTTTATTTCAAAAAGAAAAGTTCAATTTAAACAAAATAATTTAATTGTTATACTATTGATTGTTCTAAATTTGCATTTTAATTAAACGAAATTTATTCAAAATTCCTTTTTGATGTCAGCTATATATACTTAGAAATTTTTATAGTACCTACTTGTAATAGTTTTTTGCCCTCCATTCCAGCCGTTTTTTAAAAAAACCTAAAATAAAAAAAGGAAAATTTATAGAAAAATCTTTAGATATTTTTTTTTGTTTTTCTTTATAATTCTTATATAATATTTTTGTAGTGTTGTAATTCAATTAGTGGATTGTACAGAACAATAGACCATTAATTAAATGGAAAAAGTAAAGTTTATTTTTTTATTTTGTTAAAAAATTCAATTGTCGATGTTGATCTTTACAGACTTTTCCTCTTTTTTTTTCTATATAACTGTTATACTGTATACAAGGAAATCGAATTATTTACCCTTGGCTGTTATATTTAACAATATACAAAAGTATAAATATACGCCATCTATACGACAATAATGAAGTATTTTTTAACAATATTAGAAGAATTAATATAACTAGAAGAAGAACTTTTTTTTTTCAAAAACTTACAAAACTTTTATTACGGACTTATGATTTCTTCTTAATTATACTTTTACATTTATTATAGAGAATTTTCTGTTCGATAAGAGTTAGTGTTGGGTAGGTACTACAATGCTTATTGTAATATATACAGACTATAATAATGTGCAAACCTCACAATTTTAAATAAATTTTATTGTAGGTTTATATAGAAACTGATGAATTTTGATGAACTTGCTAACTACAACAAGACCGAAAGGGAATAAAAAAAATTACAATAAGGCAAGCAAAAAAAAAATGCCATTACAATTTTTTTGCATAATTTTGTATTTGTTCTTTTGCAATGACTTCTTTCAATCCAGCCATGTCCCATGATGCGATCTAAAAGAATTAATTTTTTCTTGGATTCGATGCTTGTTAGGTTTGTATGAATATTTGTACGTGTGTATACAGAGGCAGGAAAAGAGTAGAAAAAATAAATTAATCAGTGATTTGTAGCACGATGAATCACTCCCGCTTTCTTTGTGATTATTAAAGCGTGTAACCCTTTTATGCTACAGTTTTTTTTATATTGTTTTTTATAATTCAAATTATTCCTGATTCTTTCTCTTTATTATAATGCATATAAGTAGTATACAATGCGTCTATTAGCGTGTATGTGCATGCTTTCGGTACCGTTCTATATGCCTACTGGTTACGGTTACAATATTGAAACTTTTTAAAACATGTTGTAAATGTTAGGGATCGCAACACAGAATATTTTATTTAATAATGGTTGATGAATACGAAAAATTTTGGTTTTTTTTTAAAGGAAGAGTTGTAAGTTAAACTAGTATTCAAAATGGAAAACTGTTCTCAAAATACTGTTCTTAAACATTGTATTAAGAAAACTGTTAAAGCTCTCGATTTAAATAAAAGCAATTCTCAATTTTAAACTATTTAAAAATTATATACGAGAAAAACGGCTCAAACTATAAAAACTGTTCTCAATTTAAATAAAAAACTGTTCTCAATTTTATATTATTTAAAAATTGTATGAGGATTGCTGTTGCTAAGAGTCACTAACATTGACATCGAACATAAGAGTTCGGGAAGAGATTTCAACAAAATGTCAAAGAATGACAATTTTATCAACAATTTATTATCTATGTTTATGGAAATATCACCATTGAAATTTATTTGCCCACCTAATTTTATGTCATAGCATGCACCACACTTTCTTAAATGACATTTCTTCAACCGAATTATAATAAAATTATTTTGTTCTTCTTGTTTTCCTTCCTTTATTTTCTTTAAAATTTATTTTCTTCCACGGATACCACACAGACCAAAAAGAATAATAATAATAATAAAAATAATAATAAAATAAATTATAGAAATGAAAAAAAAAAAACAAAAACAACAAAAATATAGAAAGTAAAACTCAACAATAATTCATAAGCCCATCCATAGTGGTAAGAAAATCAAAAAGCTATTATACAAAAAATCATCGTCGTAATCATCATCAACATCATTATTATCATCATAACTATAACTAGTAAACGTCTTAATAAAAGCAGGGTTTTAATGAAAGAAGTGGAAAAATTAATAGAGGAAATTCTTTATTATTATTTAATTTTTTTTCACCTGATACACACAGGTTGGCAGAAAAAATAAGTTGGTACAAAAGTTTTAGAATTTGTTGAATATTTTCTACATTTGATAGAGTAAACGATAATAACTTCAAAATTATTTTTGAAGATCATTTGAAACGAATCACTTAGAGCGATATTTGATTGTTACAAGGTACTTTAACTGAAAACCTTTCTTAATAACGTAATTGGAGCGAAGCACATTGAAGTAACTGCTAATTATGTAATAATATGAAAAAAATTCATAAAATTTTGGGTGAACCTATGTAAAAATAATTCGTCAGGTGAATCATTTTTAAAACAGTGCATAGTCGTACATAAATTATGTGTGTATGCATGTATCATACGTAAGGTATTTTTTGATGCATGAAAGAGTTAATGATTAAAAGAAAAGAGGTTTTTTTTCTACACCAACAACCAGATTTGGAATAAAAAAACAAAAATGCATCGGAATAAAATGGAATGCGCTTTACAAAGATGTACAAAAAAATTTTTGTAAGGTTTGTCACCGCACGTTTTACTATGTATTTATGTTAGGTATAAGAAAGTAAAGCATAAAGTTGTGTATTTAAAGAGGAAATGCTAGCTGCTAGAATTTAAAATACGTGTAAGATTTTGTTAAATTATGTATAATTAATTGAGTCATCTGATCAGAATGGTGCAGTGATCATGGTAACGATCCTTGAAATCGAAAAAAAAATCTCTGTCGAGTTTGGATTTTGGTTCGGATTCAGGTTCGGCCTCAAATCGGATTCACTGTTAAATTTTTTTTTTTCAACTTTGGTACTCGTAATACTAATCAACGGAAACACTAATATTTAAAAATGCCAATAATTGACATAATTGTGAGTGACATAAGTATATCAAAAATGTCAGTATTCTCAATTCATATAGTATTTTCCTTTTCCTTTTCTCACCTTGAAACTTTGTTCTTTTTGCAACGATTTTATTCTATAAGTGGATCTCTGTCACCCCCTCTCCTCTTAAATATTAAATTCCAATTCTATAGTTCGGATTCAGAATAGTACTTGTTCTTGTTGAGTTTGTTACCCGTTTGCTTGTGCTACGTTAAGCTTGTCACCCGTCCAGCAAAAGTTCAATGCTATGGTGAACATTCCGATTCAGACTGTTTGATAAACACTATAAGAAGCTATTGCAATAGAAGTAATTAAAAATGTTAATTCTTGTATTTTCTATTCAAAGAATTGCAAGAAATTATTCGAGAGCGTTTTGGAAGCCGAAAATTCAAATTGTGTAGAAATACTTGGGAAATCAAGCTGAAACCTAAATGATTTTCTTATGTTCTTACGAAATATTTACAATCCCTCTCGGATTTGCCTTATGAATCACAATCAAAAACATGGAAAACATTACAAAAATTTACATAAATTAGATTATTACTGATAAAAACTAAAACTAAATTGTGAAAATTTATTCTTTACTAGATTTTTAATAATTCCCAGAATCAATTTTCTAATATTTTTCGTTCATTAATTTTGTTTTTTGTATATTTAAAAAAGATTTCTGGAAAATTTAATGCTATAATTTTTTAAGATAAAATTATAATCTTAAAAATTAAAAATAATAATTTTATATTAATGCGTTGGATTTTTTAAGATTCTTAAATTCCAATAAAAAACGAAGTGGAATTTTTAATGTGTGGCAGATCTCTAAAAATAATTTTATTTTGAAAATTTATAATTGAATAGCGGTCTAATCTATATAAAAGATATCAAAATTAGGTCAAAAAATTAATGTAAATTTTAACATTCTTGAAGAGCATAAAATTATCCAATGAAATTAAGAGAATGATAATGAGAAACATAACATGATCTACGAATATTATAGGGAATAAAGCAATAAGATGAATCATAATTTGATTAATAGCATAACTTTATCATTAAAAGAGTGGTATTAAATGTTAGACACAGAAAATGGAAGATGAATACATTGTAATTTAATTGGATTCAAGTTATTGGGTTGAATCATTCATTGCATTATCGATGATTCATTTATAATATTTTGCAATTTACTAAATTGATTATTGCACCTACAGACTTTAAAACATATAATTGTGTTAAAATATTATATAGGTACTAACAAGCATATGTGTAAATTCGCTAACATTACAAAGACCAGTTTGTGACGATCGATCCAATAATTGATCCATTTGAGAAGATAATATAAAATGGAAGAAAGAAATAATTGTTTTTAATTTAAGATAAAAATCAAGTTCTTTTAGTTTATTTCCATTTTGATAAATGTAATTTACATAATATATTTTGATTGAATACTTTTTAAATAGATTCCCATCTATATGTACTTGAATTTGCTCATCTATACTACCATCTACTTAAAATTGTACAATCAATTATTTCCGAGTTGCTCTTTTGTGTAAACAATTTAATCAAATTTATTTAAGTTTAATTGAAAAAAAAACTGATTTTAATGATTTTAAATAGAAAACAATTAAAGAACTCTAACCTTAGATTTATAGATATAATTGAACACATGGTTGCTAACTATATATCAAGGAAGAGGTATAAATTTAATGCAGAAATGTTGTAATCAGACTTTGTTCAGCTTAAACTACTGTTTTGAGTTGAGGTACATGAGTAGACGTTGGATTTGATCATTTCAAATGTCCACTACATTTTTTTCGGGTTCGGGACATCTGTTGGATACGGTTTTGAATACAGATTCGAGTTCAAATTTGGATTCTAGTTAGTGTTTGAATTCGCATTCACATTTGTTTGTGCATTCGAGTACGAAACTTGATTCGGCACCTGATTCGAAGCGGTAGTCTAAACGTGATCTAAATTGAAAACATACAAGAAAGTCTTGATATATAACCAAATATAATAAAGCCTATATGGACATATAGCATGCGGCTATGGGGTTGTGCGAAGTAAACACATATCAAGCAAATACAATTTTTCCAGAACAACGTGCCGCGTTATGTGGTGGGTGACTCCTGGTATGTACGCAATAGTGGTATT